AAACCTCAGCAAGCACAGTTTGGATCATAAAAAAAAGTTATTAGGAAATAAAGTCAGGGCTTCCATAATCATTAAAGGATCTCTGCATAAAATAACTGCCTAAATCAAGGTTTTACAAGCCAAACTTGGCTCTTGGCACCAAACAGACAACCCTGTCTTCCACTGAGGTCCTCAGGGAACCGGGACAAACCCATTGATCCTTCCAAATTTGTGCTGCTGTTGATGAGAATTTAGGGGAGTAGGAGTAATTAACCCATTCTCCCCTTCCTTGGCTACATCATCTTTATGGGACTGTTTTCCCTTTTCTTTTTCACCTGCTTGCAGACCTTCTCTGGAGAGCAGGCCACTTGCACAGTCACTCTTCTACATACAGAAAATATTAATATATTTAATTAATATTTAAAATTAATCCTTGTGGTGATAAATTCAGCACAGCTTTGAGATGGGTGAAAGTAGAGCAAGTTACCTGTGACTGATGACAAACATCACTTAACACACTCAGAGCCACCAGCGTGATGGCTGCAATGAAAGAAGCTGACCAGAATAATACAATAATGCCCATGAAACAGAGTTCCCAGCTTGCACAGAGCTAAATGAACAGTGCTCAGCCTAGGTCAGAAGAATGAAGGAATGAATCAGCTGGTGGAGGTTTGAAACTGCAGTGCAGGAACTTCGGTATTACCAGTTCAATGCTTAAACCACTGAGGAATGCCTGTCAGAGCTAACTGTTTATATATAACATAAATAATATAAACAGCTAAGTGCTGGAGGGCATATACATACATATAGATGTATTTGTAACAGAAAGACAGAATATTTTATCTGTTCCACTCTGCACCATGAAAAATAACACCACCATATAAATAAACAAATGACAGCTCTTGGGAAATGCAGGGAGGCAGAAAGTACAACTGTGTCCCAAAGAATAAATTTCTCCTTCACATGCACCCACATCTCTTGGTCCGGCTAAAAAATCTGGTCTTCACTCTCCAATTAGAAAAAACTGCTGCTAAAGATGCTTTCTCAGAAATCAAAGTAACACTGCCACGTTAAGCCCAAACTAAATCCCACTAAAAACTCCCTCTTCTGCTGGTTTTAAACTCTCCACTGGGAAAAGATAATTATCAAATAATAGTATCAACAGTGTCAGATAATCACTTCAAGCACTTTGATATGTTCAAGTGAATGTTGTTTCAAATGTTATCGAGTGTCAAATATTTACTCTTGAGTCCAACTGTGTAAACGACCCATCCAATGCCACTAAACATGGCAGGCACACTTGTAACAAGAGCAGTGGGACCTGCAAAGCAAAGGAAACAACCCAGCTATTTTCAGAGAGGAAGCATGGAGACAATCTTGGTTTTGCAGACAAAGAGCGTCCTGATAGCCAGAACTCGCCAAAGAGAGTTATTACTGCCTTTGCACTTATCTGTGTGGAGGGTTTTTTGTTTTTTAACTGGTGGACCTACAGCATGGCAGGCACAGCTTTATAATCCCCCCGTGCAGTCTGAGATGTGTCCAATCTCACATTCTCAGTGTGAGACTCACACAAACAGTCCTGTCTTGTGCTTCCCCATGCCAGAGCAGTACCTGCCACAATGGAAGCTCACAGCTTTGCCTTGTTCCAGAACCCTGCACACCTCAGATCTGCTGTCTGCTGTGAGCAAAACACCTGGAATTAGAGGAATAGTGCATATAAGGCTTCCACTGGATTTCCTCTTGGGAAACACCCTACAGGGGATGAATTCTGCTTAGAGATGGTTCTCTTCCCCATCCATTTATAATGCACAGGACAACAGGCTTAGTCTGTCCTTAGCCACGTATTTCTCTTCAAGTACCTTTGGAACAACTGGTGGAGCAAATTCCTCCCCCAGCTACAGCTGGAGTGAAAGCTAGACCCCATTATATCCTGGCCCATCCCTGCCCTCTGAATTTTCAGGAACAGGAGCACAGTGCTGTGCTACCTGGTCCATAACCTCAGGCACTTGAATTCATCTGACTTCCTTTTCCTTTTTAATATTCGTAACAATGTTCTAAGAAGGTCTTGGTAAGGGGAACATGTGCCTCCATGACACAGAGATGTGACTCTGAACCAATGCCTTTCTCTATTCCTTAATTAGGCAGTCCTACCAGAGCAGCAAATGAGGAATGTCTGTGTCAAGCACAGAGTAGGAGGATCAGCGATGTGCAGCGATACCATTACAACAACACTGATTCATGAGCCAGCATTTCTTCAGTGTCAAAACATGGTTCAGGGCCCCAAACATCATGCTCAGTGAAGTCACGTACCTTGTCAGCAGGATTACTGAACACTAGCATGCAAAACCGAGGGGGGCTTTGTCAGACCTTTCCCTTGTCAAAGACACATATGTGTGGAGTTATCTGGAAAGTAATGTGACATGCAACGTGGAGCGAGGGCTGTGCATGGCATTCTCCGGCAAAGAGCAGGTTAACAGTCATTAGTGGCACTTCAGAAACAAGGGCAACCTCTCTGCATTTAAGAGATGAAAATCTTTCAATATTTTCCTTGGAGTTGTTTCATTTAGCTCTTTCAAACAGCTGCCTCCAGCTATTTCATAATAATAGTAACAACTAGTAAAAAAAAAAAAACCCGGAAAACAAACAAACAAAAAAAATCAAAACACGCAGGCCTGTTCCCTGATTGCAGAAAGTGGATTTTTCTGGGACGTACATTATTAGTCAAAAGCCTTTCCCCCCCCCCCCCAGACAAGTGCAATGCTTTTCATTAATACACACTGGAAAAATAAGATAATGGCTTTCTTGACTGTGATGAGGAACGCGGGGAGATTTAATCTGAACACTGAGTCAGGTCGAATCGCCTAAACTCCCCTCGGACACAATGTTACCGCATTAATGCTTACATCATCACTCTCACCAATGACACTAAGTAACACAGTCCCAAACATCGATCCACTCACCGCAGCGAACTCCTGGCTAAGAAGGGAGGAACAACCACAAAGGTCCCAGTTTAGCATATGTCAGGCACTAAGAAAGTTAGGTTTGATGCCTGGAGCGGAGGGAGCAATCTATTTTCAGCCGTTCAAATAGCAGCCACGGGCCTATCAGGACGCAGTCACTCCTCTTAATATTTCGCATGTGTGCTGAGAATTAAGAGTTGGAAGGCAGCACAGCGCACAGCGCAGCATACACCTTCAAAAGCATGGTACAAGGACTGCTTGTAATAAAGTACCAGGAGACAAGGCTTCGCCTCCTTGACATGTTCAGAGCAATTTCCAGTTGAAAAAGGTCAACGTATCCTTTGCAAAGCGGCTATGCCTGGAAAACTCGTGTAACTCCGTGCTGCGAAACGCGCTGGGTGCTAATACCAGACCGGCGGTTTCTGGTGCAGGTTGTGCTTGGAGCAGCGGCCGGGCAAGCGCCCGGCCGGGCATGGAGCTGCGCGGCCGAACTGCACGCGCGGGCCTGGCACTGCCCGGCTGCCTCGTGCCCAAATGCTGGCGAAGCTCGAAGCCCCGACAGACAGGGTGAAACGGGGCAGGGAGGCAGTTCTGCTCATGGGCCATGCTTTAGGGCTACTTTTTCACCTCTGCCTGGGGACGCGCTGGCAGCGTTTGCCGCCAGTGCCTCACCTCAGGGACGCATGCTGTGACCACCTTTGGCAGGGTGACATGTGCGATGCATTTTTAGGACCGTAACACGTTTAAAAACAAGCAAACAAACAAACAAACAAACAAACAAAAAAAACCACCTCAAACCGTCCCAAAATCCCTTCGAGAGAGGACACGTCCCACAGCTGCCCCGCTCCGGCGCCTGCCAGACCTGCCCACCGCTCCTCACACCTCCCGCACCACCGCGGGGCCCAGCACCGGGCAGGGAGCATCACGGGGGGTCGGGGCGCCCCCGGGGACACACACACACTCCCACACCCCCACCCCGGACCGCCCGCGCGTGGGGACGGCCCTAGGACTTTCGCGCCTCGCCTGAGGGACGGCGGGGTGTGTGTGGGGGTGTGTGTGTGTGTGTTCCCCCGAGGGGTGCACGGGGGGGGGGGAGGGTGGGTGTCTCCTCAGAGCCGCGCGTCGCGGACCCCTCCTGGCCGGGAGGGGCCGCTGTGACTCACCGCCAGCAGGGCCGAGGCGCGCTGCTCCCCCGCCGGCTGCTCCCCGTTGATGCCGCCGTTGCTGAGGAGGTGCTGGTGGTAGTCCGGGGGCGCGGCGGCGGCGGCGGCGGGGGTGGCCGATCCGCCGGCGGCGGCCGCCTTGGGGTGCTTGCCGGCCTTGCGGGCGCCCTGCCCCTGCTGCACCAGGTGGAGGAGCTGCAAGGTGCTCTCCCGCTCGCGGTCGGAGCTCTCGGCGCGGCCCCGCTCGTAGCGCCCCTCGCAGCTGAGGTGGTGCTGGCGGCAGACGGCGATGCGGGCCCGCAGCCGCTCGACGATGGCGCTGTGCACCCGGGGTGCCGCCGGGCCCCCCCCCAGCAGCCCGGCCCCCAGCCCCGCGGCCTGGGGGGGAGCCGTGTCGCCCATCGCTGGCTGCCGGTCCTGGCCCTCCGGATGGGTCGGTCCTCACTGCCGCATGGAGGGGGGGGGGGGGGGGGGGGGGGGGGGGGGAGAGGGGAGGCGGGGGCAGCGGCGGGAGCCCGAGCCCGGGGGCTGGCGGCGGGGCGGAGGGCGGTCAGCCCCGCGCCCCCAGCCCACCCCCACCCGGCCCCCGGGCGGTGACGGCCCCGCGAGGGGTTGACAGATCGAGGGGGAACGGGGGGGGGCGGGGGGCGTTCGGCGGGCGCTAGGGTTGTGCCAGCATCGGCCGGGCGGGAAGGGCGGGGGTCGGGGTCGGGGCCGGGCAGCCCCCGCCGAGGGGCTCCGCGGGGCGGAAAGGGCGCCCGGGGAGCGGGGCGGGGGGGCCCTCCGTCGGGGGAGGAGGGCGGAAAAAAAAAAAAAAAAAAAAAAAAAAAATCGAGCCGCTGCCTCCAAAATGAATCCCTGGACGAAGGAGATCTCCCTCGGGAATGAGTGAGACTTGGCAGGTTTATTGATTTTATTTTATTTGGGGGGAGCGGGGGGGTTATTCCTTGAAGTGGAAATTTAAGGCATTGCCGTGCTCGGCGGCACGGAGAAACCCCCCCCCCCCGGCGGACCAAAAATCTCGTAGATTTGGCGGAGTGGGGTTTGTTGTTTGTTTTCGTTTTGGTTTTTGTTTTTTTGATTTTTTTTTTCTTTCTCTAAAGTCTTTAGTAAATGTGCAAATAAAGAGCCGGGGAAAGAGGAGGAGGAGGAGGAGGAGGAGGAGGCGGCTCGGGTTTAAGTCTTTGTGCTTTCTCGTTTCGCTCGCCCGCTCTTTGCTGGCCACTCTTCGGTTTATTACTGTGTCCAACTGTCTGCCGCTAAATTGTAGTTCCTCTAAAAATAAGAGAGACGGATCCCCCCGATCCGGAACAATGTCAGTCAGTGGACTTGCAGACCACGCTTCGCCTTCAACTAATCCAGCCACTGGATAAAATCCGTACTGCTTTCAGTGCTTATTTCCCCCCTCAGTAATAAAGCAGCAAGCTACGACCCCAGGCAAAGAACTCCTCTCGCATACTTTCCCTTATACTCCCAGATATTGAATAGTTTCAAGTACAGTTTCAAGAAAAGCACGGGGGGTGGGGGGGGGGGGGTTGGGGAGTGGGGGGAAAAAGGGTGCGGGGGGGGGGGGGAAACAACCAGCCAGCCCCTCTTCAGACAGTAATTACAAACGGAGAGTTGCACTTACAAACTTCCAGCATTTTGCACCCAGAACAGTCCAGCCACTTTTCCTTTGTGTTTTTGTATATTCCATCCCCGACCCGCCGCGGTGGGCGGTTGCCGGTGGGTTATCGGCGCTGCCTCCGCCGGGCGCCGCCGCCGCCGCCTGCCCGAGCTGCCCGCTGGGCGCGGAGCGGCGCGGAGCGGGGCCGCGGAGCGGGGGCGGGAGGCGGGTGTCGCCGATAGCGCGGCCGGGGAGGCCGGGGCGAGGCGCGGAGCCTCCCAGCGGCCGCCCAGGGGAGCCGGGTCGCCGCCGCTCCCCGGGAGGTATTTGCATGGGAGGGAGCCAAGGAAATCCCCTTTCCCCTCCTCGCTCGGTACCTGGGTGCCGGGGCGCGGGCGGGCGCCGCCGGAGCCGCCGCCGGGGAGCGCAGCCTCCCGCTCCCCCTCCTCCCCCGGCGGCGAGACCTTCGGGCGGGTACGAGGGAGCTCTCGAATAAATCACGGCGCTGCGCTCCTCTACCAGCTGGATTTCTCTGGAACAGACGGTAGAAAAACAAGCAGTGCCTTCTAGGGTGCTCTCAGGCACGGGGCGAGTGAGCGACGCGAGGTCAGGCTTGGGGTGCGGGAGCTCCGGGCTCTGGCGTGACCTTCTTGGGTCTCTGGGGCAAGGCACGTAGCGCCTGCTGCACTTCGGTTCCTCCCCAGGAAAGCCACGGCCTCGGTGCTTCTGTTGGCCGACGACTCTCTTTAGAGCAGGGGTGGCCGACTGAGAGCTCTGGCCCCCGGTACCGGACTTGCTGCAACTGGCAGCCGTCAGGTTCTGCGTGTTGCTGTAGGTGAGCTGTGAAGGAGGATGCAGAAATAGCTGGGAGGTGGTCGGCTTTATTAAAGCAGTACGCTGTTGTGCTGCCGTGGCTGTATTACCCGAATTCTCAAATACCCCCTTAGGAATAAAAATGACCCCTCCAAGCCTGCAGAGACACATCCCTGGTGGAAAACCTTTAAGGTCTTTTGGGACTGTACAGCCACTAATACAAGGGTGCACCATCTCATTTAGTTCTGCAGTGGGTCCAGTCAGAAAAATGCACAAATTTCATCACAACTTACCAGGAGCACTAAGCTGAGAATAAGGAGGAACTAACAATAACTGTCTCAGGTGGTTTGATGCCCATCCAAGGTCATGCATATAAATACTTCTAGTGCCAACGATGAAGTAATACAGTCCTGGACAGGTCCCCAAAATACAGAAAAGATATGCAGCGTTGGACATATGGGAAATATGAAACCCCCCGCTTTCATGACCCCCATCTCCCTTATGTCGCAACAAACACCCCTGTGGGTTTCCTGGATCTGGCTGGGTGAGCACCAGCCACAGTCTGTGGCACGTTCAGGCCCACATTTGCCCCAGCACAGACTTTGTTTCTTCACTGAGGGACAAGGTCTGGGGAAGTGGATTTGTGGATGTGCTACCTTCAGAGGAAGGCATTATTGCTAACAAGAAAAGGGGATTTTTTTGTTTAACCTTGAATGACTGAGGAAGAGTGGGTTATTATTTGATACATAACGGTAACATGCATCTGTTGAGAACAATGAGCTGACATGGAAAAAAATAGGAAATTTTAATGTTTGTGAAATAATAGACAACGTTACCTTTGCTTCAGGGCTCGCCAGGGCTTTTATTCGTTCTTCATAGCTCAGATGTCACTGCTGTGTTTAAGAGGGTCAGTCACAGAACACCCGTGTAACAGTAACACATGAATCTCACAGAGAATAAGCACGGGTGTTTTGAACGAAGCCTTGGCTGCGGTTTTCAAAGTTGTGGGAATACGAGATAGGTGGTACTGCTCCGGAAGATACCAGGGTAGCTGCAAGAGTTCTCTTACAAGATTTTGTAGAACTCAGAGAATAATCTTTCAAAACAACTGGCTTTGAATTTTAACTTTAGACGTTTAAGATCACTTTTTGCCGAGCAGCTTCTCATATGCTTGTGGTTTAACATATCCCTTCGTTCAGGGTGAGACACAGCTGGTTGCAGGGCTGCACTGCAAGGCCCGGGCGCTCAATACGCAGCAAATGCTGCCCCTGGTGTTTCAGAGAAGGAAATACCCTAAATCCATCCCTTAGCTTTTCAAGTTTTGTCCAGAAGACCCTGGCGAATGTTACCAGCCCCTGGATACCCCTATCATTTTTGGTTTGGCTAGCTGTCAGTTTTCTGAAAAGCAAACGGTTCTTAACATCATCGTAACAGCACCTGCGCTTTGTGTCATAGGCATTTTAATAAACAGACACGATAAAACATTAACACAACAGGTTGTGAATAATTACTTTTTTTTCCTTGTCTACATTAATTTGTGACCTTTCTACATGATATTGTAATCTCATATGAGCTGTCGTGTTTGAGCATTTTTTCTGTGTGAATTCACTACAGCAGTCAAAGCTCCGAGTTCCCAAAGTCGGCAGCCCCTTCCAGACCAGCAAATCACTTATTTGTGCTGTGGTTCACAGCCAGGAATTCTTACTATAGACATCCCATTCTGCTAATAACTTTCCAAAAATGGAACAAAAAGACTCTGCTGAACCTACGTGGCTTAAAAACTTGAGCACATGCTTAAATCTAGGCACATACCTTGTTCATCTGTGTTTAGAAATCACATATCAAATTACTTCAAAGTTATATTAACGCCACCGGAACAGCACATGCTTAATATCAATCCTGGGGGGGATTTTGCAAATCGGAGCTTTGAATTTTCAGCTGTTTCCATTATTTGCTTTTCAGTGAGGGTTTTTAACCATTTTGAATGACTACAGTTATGTATAAATGTATTTCCCAGGGTATTCCCACCTAGGCAGGCTCAGGTACCATGCAGCTCACATACCATGCAGCTCAACCTGGTAAATTGTTTAACTTTGGAACAGAGTCTAACTGCACCTGAGTGGGTTTTCTTGTTAAATTTTGGGCACAAAGTGCATGCAATTATTGCTCTGTTTAAACTGTGTTTAAACTGTAAAATAAGCCATCTTGAACACACACCGGTTTTTAAATTAAGAATATAATCCCCAGCGCAATCTCAATAAACTGTGTCTACACCTTATTTAATAAACAACAGGGAAAACCAAAACAAAACAACCCCACGCCATCACTTATTACCTAGAAAAATACCAAAATTCACATAAATTATTCAGGGAAGTGGAGCCACTGAGGGGGGTTATTATCAGGTTCTTTCAATATAATTTCACATATTGCTCATATTATTCCTTGGATGGTAGATCATACTTTCTTACATTCTTTTGTCTCACCTCTAAATTCAGATTAGAAATTGGTATTTCTTATTTCTCAAAGCAGAATCAGAAAGGATTCAACTTTATAAAGTTTATTTTGTGTGTGCTAGATGTTTCTCTTGGAGTCGTATTGTATTTACATGTGTTTATCTAACACACCCACTCTGTTTATCCAGACAGACTTAAAGAAGGATAAAACTACATGTCTTTATTTATCCAAATAAAAGTAAACTAGAGGAGTTAAGCATGGGAATTGCCTGTAACTGCCTGCTGAACTGCTAGAAATAGCTGCTTTTTGGAAACAGGAGAAGCCTTCACTGTTAAAAAAATGACAGTAACAGCTATCTATTATTAGCAAAGTTTACCATCCCATTTGATCCACAAATGACTTTCTTTCCAAAAACTGGGGGACATGAGGAGGAAAATCACTTATTTTCATGCTTCACTGCAAGAACTGGACATATAGACTGAAAAGGGCCTTCTCTCCCAGAAGCACATCACATTAGTGAGCCTGATCCTGTGTATAAACACCTTTTGTGAACTTTATCATTATCACAGTCTCCAGTTACAGAACTTAAACTAGAGCAGATTATCGAAACATTACAGGAACTAAAGTAATTTCCACGTATGATCATTAATCACCCATGCCAAGTCTAATCACATACTGAGCTCTCCTCATTGTTCCATTAAGACAGGTACTTTATCTTAATTAGAACAACTACTTCAAAAATTAACACTAAAGACAATTTAAAATGTTATATCAGAACAAACATTATATTCTTTCACCCCTTAACTCCACTCAAATTCTCCAATATGGAAAAGGAAGTATGAAAGACTGGTCAGATTTCTGACTTCTCCCATCATTAGATATTTGCACAAAATTCTTCTGCTAGAAATATTCTTACTGAGTATTTCTATATACAGAAAGTCTCAGAGGCTAAGAGCCCTCCTTATACTTCATGCTGTACAAGTATTAGCATTTACAACCTGTCCTGGAAAATTTGATCTACATTTTTACATGTATGTCTCTTCTAAACAATCTTTTCATTTCTTGTGGTGAAGACAAATGTAAAGATGAGGTAATGATACTTCATATTCTCTGTCTTGTAGAAACCCTTCAGGTAAAACAACAGCCACAGAAATATTATCACTTCCTCCAGTCTCAGTGAGGGGAATATCAAATCTTAAGAGAGACTATACACATACAAACATTATGTCAGCCCCTGTCAAGCCAAATCACCTACCAGTTTCCCACTGAAATAGAAATCAGTGATGTCAGTTCTAGGCATTTTCTTAGTCTAACTGGTGACGTCACAGACAAAATTAGTAAGCCTATGGAGGCACTTTCTTCTAAGAAACTCTAACAGGATACTTCTGTATCCCTGTCAGACAGAAAAACATACATCTGGAGAAAAATGCCTGCAGGATCAAGAAAGAAGTAGATAGCTTACACTTCTTAGATAAACAAAGAGGAGGTGAGAAACATGATCTGGGATGTGGTAGATATCAAAAAAATGAGTAAAACTAATCACTGGAACAATTTGCCAATTTTAATTTTCAATCAGAACGTATGTATTCTTGAAATATTATCAGTAATCAGCAAGCCAAAATTTCCCAAACTTATTTTTTAACTTGGTAGCAAACAGTTCAAATATGGCAAATTGATAAATCAACCATACATTTTGATAGCAAGATTTTAAAATAAAAATCGTAGAGTCTCTAGAATTTTCAGAAAATTCAGAAGGTAGCAGAAATTAAGACCAGTCAGAAAGGCTCTGAGAGGGCATACTCCATTACGTGGCATAAAACTCATTTATTTCAGAACACTTTTCCTTTGTAAGAATAAAATTATACCAAGCATAAATGTTACTATTCTAGAGAAGCCAACAAAAGTACAGAGAGATTTTGTTAACAGAAAGATGTGGGGCATCAAGGGGCATTACTTTTCCTAACAGGGATATATTTGAGACACATTCCTGAGTACTTTTAAGTTGATGGGTATGTTCTCATCACTACTCCCAGAAGAACAGGGATGAACAAGGAAAAATAATAGAGATTTCCTTCAGTTTTGGTAACCAGGGAGATAGGTATAAAATATATCAATTCTCAGAATATTTACATATCTAACTCATAGTTAAGGTATGGAAATAATATGTTCAAAGTAAGTTTACTTGAGAATAAGTCTCAATCTGTTTACTGGGATTTTTCATCTTGGTCTGTAAATCTTCTATCTGTATGTGGTACAAGGGAGAAATGATGGTATTAGCTCACTCTAATAGTATATAAACCATTGCAGAATTTCAACCCCTTAGAATACGAGCAGTTAATTTCTTCCAGTGAATGCAGGAAAAAGGGTACTGAATGATAAATCTAAGGTACAGTTCCTATAGCAAAAAGCCAACAGATGTTCACCTTTAAGCAATACACCTGGCAGCAGCTGCCTAGTCAATCAGCGTGTCTGTTACCAGGAGAGTGGCATAATGAACGTGGGGATTTCTTATGGACAAATCCAAGAGAAATTAGGTTTCATTAGTTTTGCTTCTGAGAGCAACTTGTAAAAAGAGTCTTTGCTTTCACTATTTTAAGCTTGCTCAGCCACAAAAGACTAATTTTAAAAGTTTAAAATTTTAAACTTTTAAAAGTTGCTCGGCCACAAAAGACTAATAAGAGTATCTGCATGCAGCAGGATGCAGGAATAGTTCCTAATGGGATTCAAAACTGTGCACCCTGTATCTTACCTTAGGCTACATCTAATTGATTTTATATGCAGCACAAAGTACAGGGAGAGAATCATAAAATCGTTTGAGTTGGAAGGGACCTTTAAAGATCACCATGGGCAGGGACACCTTCCACTAGAGCAGGTTGCTGAAAGCCCCATCCAACATTTCCAGGGAGGGGGCTGCCACAGCTTCTCTAGGCAACCTGTTTCACTGTCTGAACACCTTCATCATAAGAAATTTCTTATGTCTATCTATACTTACCGTCTTCCAGTTTAAAACTGTTGCCCCTCATCTTGTTACTACAGGCCTTGGTAAAAATGTCTCTCTCCATCTTTCTTATAAGCACCCTTTACAGATTGAAAGGCTCCCTGAAGCTTTCTCTTCTCCAGGCTGAACAACCCCTGGAAGTCTCTCAGCCTTTCTTCATGGGAGAGGTGTTCAAGCCCTCTGGCCATTTTCTTGACCCTCCTCTGGACCTGCTCCATCAGGGCCATGTCCTTCCCGGGCTGAGGACCCCAGAGCTCGATGCAGCACTCCAGGTGGGGTCTCATGAGTGTGGAGTGGAACAGGAGAATCACCTCCCTGGACCTGCTGGCCACGCTTCTTTTTATGCAGCCTGGGGTACAACTGGCTTTCTGGGCTGCGAGCACACAGTGCCAGCTCATGTCCAGTTTTTCAGAATGGACAACATAATACTTAACCCTTCCTAACTCCTCTAAAATCTATTCCCCAGGCCCCCCAAAACTCCGATATGGGCTTCATGCAATTCAGATACTTTTTGTTAAGTTATACTGGAAGAATTCTTGCTTATCTTGCATGGACATATTAATCCATTCTCTTCATTTTGTAGTTACTGCAAGTTGTGGCCATTATGTTTGCACAATGTAATTTGATGTTTAAAATCGCAGTAAATTGTTCCAGCTGCTTATCAGAGACAGTACTGTGGGTCCAACTGTTCATTTAGATGGCGAAGCCCGACTCAGTCTGTATGATGCCTATAATGTGACTCATCACCTACTCTCTAAAGAGAGGAATGACTACTGTGCTGCAAACTTAGTCAAGACTGCAGAATATTTCCTGTTGCCTTGCAAGAGTCTATACAGATTCCTCAGAGGGGAAAAAGATCTTTGCATTGGGTCCTGTTTATTGTAATTATCATTCTAAATGGTTGAACTTACTTGCATATAACGAGCAACAAGGCAGATGCGATGCAGGTCATATGTTCTTGTATAACATAGCCTCATCTTTCCAAATATACCTACTTCAAAAGGTCTCGGCATCTCCTACCTGTCCTATGATACAGCTCAATATAAATATGTGGAAGTTTTATTTCACAAGTAAATAGATATTGAGATGTTCTTTTTAAGAACAGAAGGGAACTTAAAGTGACATGCAGTAAGACTGGAAGGACTGATTTGGTAAAACTTTGGGTTATTATTGACACAGATCAGAAAAAAAAAATACAGCACGTTCTCAAACAGTAGTTTAAAGGCATATGGATTTAAGTATAACACAGCCCAGAAAGAATCTCGAAGACCAAGCAGAGATAAAATGCATGCAGATAAAGCAGGCCATTCAGATTTTTACAAGATGTCTTTCAAAGAGCTATATAACCACTTAATCCATTTTCTCTTCTTGGAAACTGTCTGCATTATTCATGTAGTCTTCAAGAACATTATATCTCTGCAAATAAAATAAAATATTATTTTATCAGTGTTTAATAACTGAATTACATAAAGACTACTTTTTCTTCAATACATTAACCAGCTTGTCAATAACAATTCAGAAGCAATGGTATCTGAAAGCTTGCTAAATGCAATCATACTACAAGTTGTCTTAAAATAGTTCATAAAGTGTTTCTGAATAATTCAAAGTACTTCAGCATAAACAGAAGAGTAAAATATTCTTGCTGTGCCTCATGTATGTGTTACCAATATTTCTAAATTATAGCTCAAGTTTGTTCTGTTGCTGCTTTCAAATGAAACAAGATCCTGCCCACTGCAGCCCAGAGATCAGGCAGCTGTCAAAAAGCTTCGTGTCAAAAGTTAACACAAACTCCATGTGAACACAGTAGCATGCCACTGCTTGAGAGACTGGGTCAGCAGAAGTGGATGAACTGTTAAGCTGAGGTATATTACTGAAGTCCAGTAATTCAGAACTGATCAATTAAATATTTTATCTCAGATTACTTTTATCTACTTGGAAAAGGATACATCAAATAACTCAGTCGTACCTTCTGGATCCACCCACTGTCTTCCAACTGGCTGAAAAGCCGTGCAACTGTGTCTTTGACTGGTTCATCCTTAACACCATCCAACTCGGTAATGGAGCTGCAATCCATATACAATTTGTATTTGAAGTGCTTCAAATTATGATAAACTCTTGTACGATCTGCACATACCACGCCAACCTTCAAAACCTAGGCCAAAGTGAAAAATCATTCTCTCTGATAGAATTGTGATTAGCTTGACAATATAAAGAATGGCTAAGTCAGTCTAGTAAGATTTTATCAGTCACTCTAGAAAGATTTTTTGAATAATGAATAAACAGATGACACTGCATGCATAAAATCCACACAAAACTATCTAGTTTTCCCAGCCACAGCAGAACAATTTTTGAGCAGGCAGGCAGCCAGCAAGTCTATGCAATGGCAGCTTATCTGTACTGTTTTCTTGCAAACACAACCATGTTTATAACTGGTAGTATCTTTCCTGTCTCCTTGTGGAACATTGTTACAAAAATCACTAACATTTTAGACAATCATGAGACTGTGAAAACAGAGGAAGAGAAATTATTTGAATACTTTTGCTTAATATGTAGTACCTTCCTAGGGACATGAAATACCAGCTGTAGCATTTTGTAGACTGAATAATATTCAATATTTCTTCAAGAAATACATATGAATACAGATAAACATATGCCTAGAAACATATATTTAATAAATATATAGAGAGATTTGATTTTATAAAAATAAAATCTGAAACCTGAGGTTTTATACAATGTGAATGTTAATCTGCAACTGTCTGGGAGTTACATAGCTAGGCCATAATGCTGTAGAAATCAAAGCCCCTGCATCTCCCAGTTATGACTAGTTTTACTTCTACAAATTCCATGCAGAAAAGACAGAACCATTTTATTTAACAATTTTCTTTGCAGCAGTATTTATAGATAATCAAATGGTAAATATGCATGCAAATACATAATCAGAGCATGGATTATCATCTACCAGCACTAACATTAAATACAGGCAAGTATTTGCATATACCTTGAACTCAGATTTTATCCAAAGATGTTAAGCAGTTACAGTGCTTACATGAAAATACTGAGTAACAAGTTACAAGAATCTTTGGCAATCCTAAACCTTCCTTAAGAGTACATGAAATTGGAGGTGAGAAGGGAGAAAGAGTCAAAGTTTATCTGCATTTAAGGGCATTCTGCATTTCACAAGAGTAAGTTTTGTTCCATTTCTACAAGAAAAGTTGTTCAAGTACACACAATGGCAAATCAGAAGAGGAATCTATTCCCTGTTAATCACCCACAAGTGCACTGATAAATACTCCAACCCATGGGAACAAAGACTATCAGGTAAGAAATCTACATCTGGCTGGTTTTTGAAGGTCAGGTTTTCTACTCTCAAAAGCAACACAATTAATACATCTGTAAAGAAATTCAGCTCCTGATACATACGTGAGAAACTGATTTAGTTTTCCTAAAAATCAACTCATCAACTTATCCTTAAAGGGCAGCATTGCTTTGGACTGATGTCACACCTTTGTGAGTAACACGCAGGTAAATGGCTAAAGGTCAAAGTTCTTTGCATCAATAATACAAACTGCAATTGTATTGTTACTGCAGATTACATGCATGTATATCAAAAAAACAATCATATGTTACATAATTATCTCTTCTGAGTCACAACAGTGATACTCTTCATTGCTGCCACTGCTAATCATCTGAATACTCTTTTAAATTATGAGAAGGTTAAGTTTTAATCAATGCTTACAACCTGCATTTTCAGGAAGCTTTTTCCAAACGCATGACCAAATGTTTGCACCCGTAGCAGTTCCCCAAAACACCTGACCTGCTTGTACAGCCTAGCACTAGCAGTATCTACTGACAATGACAGTAACAGAAAAGCATAGAGACTATATGAACTAAAATGATATGTATTATTTATATATTTTCTTAAAAATACAGATATACTTAATTTCTTACATATATTAACCAGCAGTTCAACTGATATAAGCAGGTATAATACCACTTAAGTCAAGAGACACTCACTTAGAAGAACTTTTGATCTGACCTACAGTAGATGGTTATTTCAAATACTGAAACCATCAAGAACTGAGCTGTAGTGTTTCATAAAGCATTTTGTAACTCTTCAAGTATTCCAAGCAATGAGGTATGGCATCTGGAACATTATGTGATGTAAAATAGGAGATACTGTCTTGCATTAAACTGATGGCCCAGTCCTTCCCCTGCAACAACAGCCAGCAGGAGATATTTAGGAAGTTAGATGCAGGATGAACACCAGAATGATAACATTAGCATACAGCTTGTAGCAGTCAACAGTTAAGACAGTCTGGATGATCCCAACTATCATGTTCCATCCTGTGGCAGAAGCCTCCCCAAGAATCTACCTAATCCCTTTTGGGACCCAGTAACACTTTTTGCTTCCAAAGTATCTTGTGGCAATGAGTTTCACAGTCCATTTATGTGCGAGGTGTAAAGTATTTCTATATGGGAGAAATGCCAGAGGCAAATAGCTAAATATCGTACAATGTAATTATGTATTGTGTTTTCAAAGCAAGAAAGATTGTCTAAAAATACAATGCTATTTCAGAATGCAGCTTTGGAAAGAATCTCAGTACTGTACTCATTCTAATTTTTCCCTCTCAGTTCTCAGTCACTCTGTCCTAATGCTTAACTTATCTACTCAAGCTGGCCATATCAGCCAAAGTTGTGTTAAATCACTTTGTATGGAATGCAGGAGCGTAGCCTGACAATAACACAACATGTAGTGGCTAAATCCATGTCCTCTAAGCGTGATTATAAACAGAAGTAGAACACCAAGACTGAGAGTACAAAACAGTTTATAATTATCCAGGTGACACAGGAACAAAGAAGTGTGGGGGCCACCTATACCTCTAAACTGTTCGATTCTCCCTGACCATGGAGGAATTGGAATTGGCAGCTAGACACTGAACAATCACTGCAAGCCTAAGCAAAACTGAACAGATGTTTCTCTTCTCTTTCTACTGGCAAAGCAGAATACTTCAGAGATGAGAGAAAAAGAAACTTTTATGCAGAAGAGGAGGTTTGGAGGTCTGTTTTTGTTCTCTCCACATCCACTTTTCTCAGGTATTTTCAAATAAAACTTTATAAAATAGTCCAACTACATGTTTCCATTCAATCTGATCAGCCAGTGATGAACTGCCTTCTCTTTCAGTCAAATAAGTTCCTGAAGTACCAGTTTCATGTAGCTCTGTGTGCCTTTTTTTCTTTTTTTGCCCTTTCTTTTTTCTCAACTGGCAGGACAAGTTGATCAACGCATTGCCAGAAGAACTTCAAAGACTACTTGAGAACAGCACCTTCAGCAGTCCAAATTACAGGTCACCATGAGAAAATGAATGTTGCATTACAAAGTCACTACCAAAAATGACTGGAAAGCACTCGATAACTCTCTCTCCTGGGTCTGTTCTACAGCCCCTGATGTATATTGAGCGTACACAGGGCAAGCATCTCACCAGATGCTGGGGTACACAGGGTAAAAAAACCTCTCAATTTTTCCTGTTAAGCTGAAGAGAACAAAAATTAATTAGAAAATTAGTTCATTATTCAGTAGGATATTTCAAGCTTTTTCCAAAGTGAAAAATAGCCAGTGCTTAACACAGGACAACATTTGGACAGCAGTGAGGGAATTGCTACTGTTATTTCCACAGTTAAGTTGGAAGTTGAGTAAAGATCAAATCCTTGTGCTACTTCACTTGCTATTTCTGACTAGGTAAGACCCACACAATATGAAAAACTGAAAATTTTAAAATTAGTGATCTACATTTAGAGACCTGTATGTAAGGAAGAATAACAACTGTACGATGGACTGCAGTATCAGTGCTAGTACGATTGCCAAGGACTTACTGTTTTCCTGCAATAAACAAGGGGAAAAGCCTCTAGCTCTCTCAACTTCCACGCACACACAGATTTATCAAAACAGAGTATTAACAACTGCTGCTCAGAAGGGTCTGTAATCTATTTAGGAAAAACTGTGGCACAGATTTTCCTAGGTTTTGCATTACACACAGAGCCCACTAAGATGACATAATGATAATCACACTGACACCCCTCAAATCTCTAAGTTAGAATATCTGCAAAGATTCAAACAATACAGGGTTGAACTTCAGTAAGGTGTACTTCCAGTCTGATGAAGGCCTTGCTTTATTTTTATATGAGAAATCCTATTAGACCTCATTTCAAAATATATTGTAAATACAACTCGTTATGACACTTTTTTCTGTTCAGCAAACACTGTGAGAAATTTCAGCTGTATTCAAAATTTCTTTTACACTCAAAAAGAAAAGGAATACACATTCTATACCTCCTGAAGGGGAAGAAAGGCAGAACTTGGATATTAGCTTGGTACACAACTGTAGCAACATTTTATTCTTGATAAATCATGTGCTTTGAATTTATCATGAGGTCATGAATTACATTACTTAAGAAGTTCATATGCATATCTGATCATAACAATTACTAGTAGTTGCAAATTTGAAGGGAAGATCCCTAAATATTAGGAACACCCAGGTTCTTAGGAGTCAAGGTCTTCAAAAGTCTTAGCTGTGAAATATAACAAAATTGACCGCTCAGGTCATCTAAAATGACTGCCTAGTGCAACATTATGTAACAACATGAAAGGTGTGTTTCATTCCAGAAACATAATTTAATCCAAAACATCTTGGTAGAGACAACCGAGTGAGAAAAAGACGCAAGACTACCTAAACAGAAATGTTTTCTAGTTTGGAGAAGCAGTTCTGATAATACAATAATGAGAAAAAGGCTCTAATAAAATGTACTGAAGTAGTTAGGAACACGTCTTCTCAAAAGGAGATCAGCAATTTCAAGTGTCAATGCAACTGAGATGTCAAGATACTTTTTACTGAGTGAATAGTTACATGGGAAATAGCAGATGTAAAAGAAGTCTGAAGGATGAGGCAGTAATTTCTGACTATGCTGCCCTTGAACTATTAGAATGACAGTGGCACTATTTCATTCAACCTGACCTAGACCAAAAAAGAACTGCTGGGTATGCATATGGGATGCTCCAAATGCTAGAGGCATAGTAGGCACAGAGTTAGCAAACCTAGTGACCCAATGTAGAACAAATCTTACTTGCAATGAAATAGAAAACACAATCGTTCAATGGAGATGATTGTCCATTGTACAGAAAGACACTTTCATTATGTTTCTGAAAGCTAATCAATGCAAGATTCCTGCTGGGTAAGTCTTAAGGGCATTACAGATACACATGAAGGTAAAGGGCTTTCAAGTGATCTAATTTCAGTGAAAAAGCATTCTGATATTTAGACTATATGTAAATCTGAGGCAAATGTCATTCTGATTTAAAGCCTCAGACACCTGGCACACAGAAACCGAATATATTCAAGATTAAAAAAAAACTTCATAGTATTTCTCAGGTACTTGGTGAAAACAAGGAATGCCAGGCCTCAGTTATGTAACTTCTTTATGCTATGCATCCACGTAAGGATTTTCAATCTTCTATTAAGTGTTCTCTGACAAAACAAAAAGCTACTTTAGAAATAACTGAGTGCTCATATTAGATCTTTGGTTAGCATGTGAATCTTTATGTGCGCTGTCGGCCTCTGACACAGTTTCAGACTGCCTCTTTATGCACCACAAAAGACAAGCATGCTGAGTAGGACGTGTAGGATGCCATGTATCCAGAGTTTCCTTCTTGCCTTAGATGAGACTCAGACTGGAGATATTTGAAACAGAGGCAAAATTGAGGCAAGTGTCAATTTTGACTCAAGAGCAAGTGTTACCAATAAACCCTACCATGTGTCTTAGACCCTTTTACCTTTTTTATCGTGAAGTCCAGCTTATGGTTGGGTATACTTACTAGTGCTTACTGTAGTTCAAGTACATATGCTGCATCAGGTACTAATATTAAGTGGCAAAAGTGGGGAGGAAACAGCACACTGATCATTGTGATGCAGGCAAAACCAAAGATCACAGAAAAACATCAGATTTATTTTCTTGATAAAAGTTAGATTTATTTGAGGATACTTTTCAGTATCTATTTCACAACATATAAGAAAGGATGGAGGAACGCAGAGAGGAATGCTTCTATTCATCCTTTTAAGTTTCATAAGAACTTCCTTCTTAATTCTTAGCTAAATCCAAAACTATACTCCTCCAAACTACAAAATCATCTTTATATTTTAAAAACGAATAAGGTTTAGGCATGGAAGTACAGTAGCTTAACTCTTGCCACTAGCATTATAAACATTAGATGTGTTGATAGGATTTCTATTCTTTGTATGACTTCCTGTAACACTAGACAAAGTTTAAAAATAATTATATGGAGTGCTTGTTTGAAGTTACCTGCTTGTCATCTGACATGAAATCATCCGCTTCCAAAGTTCTACTATTATAAAGCTTTCCAGAAAGCAGCACGTTGAACTTACAATACCGACTCAATTCACAGGCCTGACAAGCCATATTTTCTGGATTTTTCAAGATTATGCGAACTTCTGGGTAACAATCCACACGCTCCTGAAAAACAGATTTCCAATAACATTAAAGAATCTCTGTAAACTGAAAGATGCCTCATATAGGCTGCTGAGTACTCTGTACTCACACAAAATTAGTGTGAGAGAAATCAAAGAGATTAAAATCTGGTCTTACACCATTCAGTTGTGAACATCTACCTTCTCAATCATCTTTCAACACTTCATTCAGTTCTAATTCATTAATTCTTTCTTTTGGCTTCAGACTTTAAGCTCTGGCACTTATTTTTCTCTCATCTCCTTTTTTTTTTTTTTTTTTTTGAGGGGTGGGGGTGCAACTATATCAGTCGGTCTGCTTAAATAAATATCCTCTATCCCTCCACTGGCCATACTCCATTATTACAATGATGATTAGATCACCACAGTTATCACACTACTGCTATTCTAGTAATTCACACACACTGACTAGGTTACTGTATATTAACTTCATTTTTTTGGAATGAAGCTTTAGTAGATGGTTCACTATGAACATAGTGGTTTTATCTTTTTCTGGAAGGAGGAATTTTGTCGTAACACTTAGCAAGTCACAAAATACCCTCAAGAAGTCATCTGCTGAAGTCAACAGAAGAAGCATTCAGGTAACTGAGAACAGGTTCTGTTCTGTTACCTGAATCATTATCTGGTTATAAACACATAAAATATTTCCGATATACGTACCAAAACAAGTTACATAAGATAAAGAGCAATTAACTTCTGTTTAAAAAGTATATATAATTACAGCAATTATTATACCTTCACAGAGAATTACAGTATTTAAAAAATGTCAGTAATAATATGATTTGGAGCCCACTTGACTATTTAAAGTAGAAGCTACATACCTTGTATCGGTCTTTCCAGCGACTTCTAGAGATTAAGTTCTCAAGACGAGGTTGAATGAAGCGGTCATCCAAATAATGAAGTGAGAGCAACATATCTTGCGCGTATTTCTTTTGTCTTGTTCCATCTGTTTAGTGAGAGCCATTACTAATTTGCTGACCACTCATACATTGTATAAGTTTCTTCAAACAGAATTTTCAAGGGCATTATGCTTCTGCATACTAAGAACTGAATGCTTTTAATAAATTATTACTGAATACATTTACTACTGTTATCCATAAAAGTGATCAATGCATTTTTGACAAACTGGTAATTATTTTTAAAGTCTGTATCACAAGAGGTACATGAATAAACTCTACAGTCAAGCTTTAACGTGAAAACCTGTCGCCCAGAGACCCATTCACTCAAGCCCGTTTATAGTATGGAAAAGGAGAAAAAAAAAAAAAGTATCTTGCTTTTTGTCCAGGTTATGTAAGCTGTTCATTATGTTTAAGGAAGGAGGTTGCAATCCATGAAAACAAACTGCTCTGAGCTGTTTCATAGCAGAAATCTTGACAACTCTCTTCATCATTTATAAAGAACACAGAGAAACTGAACTTTAAACTTCAGCAGCACAGTCAAGATGCCTGCAGTTAGGCAGCATAAGTACTTCTAAATACTTACTCAAGCCAAAGAAATAAATAAGGATGAGTAAAACTACAACTATTCCACAACTATCTCCCAAATATGTGCTGGGGTCCAAGAATTCAACAAGACTTTCACAGGTGCAGGCCAATTCATACTGTCTGGAGCTTCAGCATGTACAGATATACAAATTAATTCAGCTATCTTCCCTAGTCTTTTAGCAATGCTGTTATCAAAGAAACAGAACCGAGAAGGAGCACAGGCTATCTAGCTGTCTATATAAAACCAGTTAATTGTCATTATCATTATAGACACCATAATTACAACTGTTTTTTCATATACACTTTACACGCATTTTCAGTAAGTCAGCTATAATAAAAACTTGGAAGATGCTGTGCTAGACCATAAAAAAATCACTCACAATAAAAAGCAAGTCTGAACCCTAATACTCAAGTAGCTGCTCTTGATATAAACTAATTAAGATATTAACTGCCATTAACTCAGAAAAAAATCCATTCTGTGTTATAAAATAAATCTTTGTAGTGCTAGGCTACGTTCATACTATAAAATGTTCTTCAGAAAGATAGAATACAACCTCCAACTCTTTTGCACAGCTGACCTACTTCCAGCACCTTGGCAGTAAGTTGTTAGTTCTGTAGAGTAGATACAATTCGAAGTAGAAGGAAGCTATTACAAGGTAAAGCTGGCAAAGTTTACTTACTCCTTTTCATAAATTTGTTTTCACTTGGTAAAACAAAACAAAACTAACACCTGACAGATCCAGCAGTGGTAGATTCAAGACGTTTTTAGATCCAAGAATACAGAGCCCCTGTTCTGAAGTCTGTGGTGTACTTCAGTTTCTCCATTCCCTCTTAATTCCTGATGACACCAAAACTTCCTCTCTTTGGCACTCTGCTGACTCCTTCCACAACCTGACACTGACAGTCCTCTCATTAATACCACCTTTACAGTGCTTCTGAAACTACTTGTGAAGTTGTCATTCAGTCCCACTAGGCCAAATGTCAAAAAGCACTTCCTCAGCAAGAATAAGACAGGAGGTACAGACTGAAGTTGAAATGTATTTGTTTTATTTGAAAGCACAGATGGTTAAAAAAAAAAAAAAAAAACCAACAAAAAACCCCAAACAGATATGGAATAATCTCCATAAATAAAATTATTTATTATCTATCAAATTCCTCCAAAAAAGCTATGAAGCACGTGACTTTCAGAAATCAGCTGACCTTGCAATATTTTCATTTAATACCTACATTGAAATTAATTTTGCTTTCATATTGGAACTGTTACTACTGATCAATACCACAGAAACACTTCCCTGAATCCCAGAATGCCTTTTAGACTTAAAAGAATCAAGTCTACACATTTTTCCAAGATTACTCTATCCTTTTCAGATAGGCTCTCCCCCCCCACCAAGGTTACAGAGCAGCAAAACCAGTAACAGATCTCAGGACTCACAGTCCTATACTCTAATCAGAAGACACATTCTTCCCTAGAATAAATGTCTTTGTATAATTCTGAATGCATTATTGTATCATTTAATGCAATTTACTTACCATATAATGAGCTCAGAAAAGTGTCATCAATTGCATTTATGAGGAAAGCCTTTACTATTCTTTTGAAGTGTACAAAATGATCACAGCGAGTTACTGGAAAGAAAACAATATAATCAGAATTTAAAAATAAAAATACATAAGCAATGTTAAAAGTCCTGTAAGAATTATTTTTTTCCATTATTGTAAATTTAGAATTTTAAAGTATTTTAAATATGGATTTTAAAATAGTTTCAATGTACAACATCCATACCTTTAATATCTTTCCTTTAAATAGTACTTCTCATCCCAATGATCTTAATGAATTTTAGCATCCTACAGTCATGTCTTTTAAGAAGGAAGAGCCCACAATAGAGCTACAAATACTAAAAGAAGAGAATAATTTGTTCTATGAATAGCAGGAAATAATACAAACCAGAGAAGGCCATGCTTATGGGCTGGGTTGGTTTGTTTGTTTTTTCTTTTTTCTAACTTACTTTCAAGTATACACAATTCTGATCAGGTCTTTACTGGGGAATAAATACCACAAATGCTTGTGACCATCTACACTAGCACTGACTCTCCAGTCAGTTCATACCTGCTTCTGAACAAAAAAAAAAAAAAACACGTAAGAAGATAACTAGCATAAAGTTCTGTTTCAAATCTCTGCAGATGCAGATACCAGTTTTCATAAAAGATCAACTTGAAAAGTTTTCTCACACTGTGCAGATTGGCTGAACTTGACCAAAGAATTCAGAAACACCTATAGACCTGTGCTCCCAAGTCTCACCACCATGGAATAAAAACACATTAAGAAAAAAAACAAACCCAAGCCTCCAAAGCCCCAAACTCGTGGCAAGAATTTTATATCACTCTCCAGAACAGAATTTGGCCAGAACTAACACAACTGCTCTTAGCATATATCACAAGATGGAGGATGATGCTTTTAGGTTTCCACAGGAATGACTGCATCATTAGCCTACTTCAACCTAATCAGACCAACTTAAAAAAAAATCTGTGCAATAGGGTTTCCCTTCCTTCTGCCCAAATTATACCCTCCCTTTAATAAGATACAGAAAGATTGTAAAAGTTTACTATGGAAATCATAATATTTCCACAATAAATTGAAGCCTTTTAGGAACCTGCTTTTAAACTATCATATCCTATTACTTAGTATTTGTATTTACAGTCAATTAATATTTATTACAACACTACAAGGAAATTATACATAAAGATCTTACAGTGTGGGACATAGTATGCCAGCAACTCGCTATTTGATGGATTTAGTTCCTTCTGCTGTGGCTGGTTTTCTCTCATTATGTGCTCTGTGTTGTCATCATCATCTTCTTCTACTATAAAGTCTTTCAGGCTGTCACTGTCAGCTTCACTACTTTCTGTTGGTGTGCAGGGCAAGTGACAGAGTGGTTCCTCTTCTATTTCTCCTTCACTATTAGAATCCTAATTAAATTTAAAAAAGTATTTCAAACACAAGAATTTTCAGTAGTTGCATTGACAAAATACTACATATATTGGGTAAGATTTTTTACCTTCTAATAACTCAATTTGTTTAAATAACAAGAAATAATATGTTTTCAAAAAATACATCATTCTGTCCTAGATGACAATTACTTTCAGCATTAAATCAGTCAACTCCATGTACCTCTCTTCAGTCTGTTTGTAGGAATTAAGCTAGCATGAGATCTCTAAATTACTTCAGCAGGTATTCTGCTTCTTGATAAAAACATTTCAATAGTCCTCTCGTGTCTCTTCTTTTTGTAAAAGAAAAAAATGACAAAGAAGTTTTTCCTTTCTATGTCGAGAAGATAGATACCTGCATTCTAAGCTTCTCAGTCAAAATACCTGAAAGAACAGATTAAATTCTTAAATCATCAGTGTTTAAAATTAAACCCAAGATAAAGGATTTCAGCAGTCAATATTGTTATTTACTTAATGTGTCAACTGTTAAAGTATGACAGAACTACTGATTTGTCATGAATAAAAACCAGAACAAATAAAATCCCACTGATTTCTAAGTCTTCGTCTCCCCCTACATTATTTTCTTCAATTGAAATTCAAAGATAAAATCCAGACCTCATAACTTTCACTGTTGCAAGTTGCTCTTTGTCTTGCAAGTTCTTTCAATTTTGCAAACACTTTCTGTTTCCTATTAGTAGAAACATTTTCTGTAGGGCAGGTTTTATCAGGCTGCTCTTCTTCTTCTTCATCCATTATACAGTGGCGTCTAGCAAAAACTTTTCTAACAAGAATATCACTGTCCTCACTTTCATCACTGTCAGACAAAACAGAGGTGTTCAACCTTTTACGCTTCCCAGGCACAATGCACTCATCCTCACCATCTTCTGTGACTTCCCCAACATGATTTTTCTCTTCATGATCTGAAGGGCTGTTCTTCACAACAGCTTCATCTTTTTCATCTACTTCATCTTCTGATGTGGTAGGCTCTTCTTTCTCTGAGGTACCTAAGGATTCGTCATCGCTGTCAAGTAGTATGAGCTCCCTTTTAGTGCGTCGCCAATCAACTCGGGATTTGGATGATGACAGTTCTGTTTCTGCCATCTTATTTCTTGTTTCATATCTTCTGGCAACTGCTTTTATCTCCATTGGAAAGCTGTGACAACACGCCAAAATATAAATCGGTAAAACAAACCACTTATTACATTATTCCATTAAAAAAAAAAAAAAAAATAGAAGTACAAGGGCATGCATATGTCTTAATATCACTATTAAGAGACATGCAGAAATATGCACCAAACAAAACTAAGCATGCACAATAACTTGTGAAGAGAATATACCTTTACTCAAAAAGTGTATAAGTGCAGAATTGCCAACACCCAGCATGAAAGAACTGGAAAAATCAGGTCTGAAGTAAGTGCAGCTACAGATCCCGCCATCCCCTCCAACACAGCTGAGGCAGAGAGCTCCCCTGCTCCTGCGGGGCGGCGTACATCACTCGTTCAGGACCACCATCACCAGGCCTTATTGAAAAGCGGACCGAAGGCCGCAGCCGCTGCCCTCAGCTGAGGGGGGACACCCCACAACGCAGGCTGGCGGGCCTCCCTCCTCCCCCACCCACCCACCCGCCCGCCCCGCAGCACGACCCGACGCGGCCACAAGCCCTGAAGCGAGCCACGCCCCGCTGTCGCGACCGCTCCTGACTCCACAAAGTGGGCCAGGCCCGGGCCAGCAGAGCTCCTCCCGGCCGCCCCTCCCCTCCGTCCCGCGGCAGCTCGCGCAGCTGCCGTTACTTTTACCGTTAACGTTCCCGCGGCCCAGCGCCGCAACCGCTGAAGAGAAACTACCGCCCGCCAGGCGGCCCGCGCGCCGCGATTGGCCGCCGCCCGCTGTCACTCAGCTGCCGAGCTGTTTACGGAAGTGCTGGTAGGCCCTAGCGAGGGGTGTGTTCGGGCTCTGTGGGTCGGCGTGCGGTGCTGGGGAGCCCGACGGTCGGGGTTCGAGTCCCCACGCCGGCGCGGGACAGCGTGCCTTCCCCCTCCTCGCTTCCCGCGCCTCCGCCGGCAGGTCTGAAGCAGCGCTAGAGTGCGAGGGTTTAGTTGTGATCGCGTTTTTGCTCGCTCTAAGTGTATTCCTTAGGAAATTATGTGTGGGGTTGTGTGGTACAGCACCTCCCAGAAAGGGGCTGCCGGTGACCACTGCTGGTAGCTGGTCACTGAGGGCCTGCCTGGGCTGAGGCTTACCCTACCAAAGCAGCTTCTTCAGAGCTGCCAGCACTCTTCTTCTCTGCCACTTTGAGAACAAACCTGCTAGATTTATTGTGTTCCACTCCCAAATGATGGGGGACATGAAAGCAGGTTGTGGCAGCTGTAACTATGGGGGTGTTTTGGGGGTGCCAGGCCAGCCAGAGTAGAAATCTCAGTGGTGTCTATGCTTGGGAAAGCCTCTGCGGCCCACATGCCCTCCATGAGGCTCTTAGAAGAAAACACTTTATTTGGTGTGTGTAAATCAACGTTTTTGGGTATGGTGCCTGCAGCTCCTCACTGGGCCTCTCAGCCAGAAGCAGGAGCACGCCCAGGGCTCTGCCTTTCTGCAGTTCATGCAATATCCATGTGGAAAATGAGGCTGGGTGACACAGAGAGGTCTGACTAGTGCTGGTGCTCAAGGAGAGTCCTGCCAGCTCAGAAAGGGGCCTCTATCTTGGTGATAGCAGCTTCACAGCATGCACTGAATTGCTGAGCATTTTGTGCTGCTCTCAGCTGGGGCTGGCCCTCATCTGGGGAACCCAAAAATGGAGGCTAGGGCATGGCCTGAATGTTCTCAATCGCAGGGGAAAAGTGTGAGTATTGCAGTGGAGGAGTTTGGGAGGTGGAGGGTACAATAAATTCATAAGTAAGTTGCACTACTTTTACTGCTCAAAGAACAAGACATTTTGTGGATGAGTATATGCAGGAAACTATCAACATCTACAATAATGAACTGTTCTTTTTCTGCTTAAAACATCTATTGAATAGGGTGCTGGATTCTGTTCAGAGCTAATAGTCTTACAGATGCATTTTAATAACAAGATTTGTGTCTTAAATTTGCTCTGCTTTGCTTGGTCTGTGGTAGAAAACTACTGCTGCCTTAGTATGTATTCTGCTGACATGTTTTATATGTTTTAACAAGATCTTGTAAACATCTCCATGTATTACTTTAAATATAGGTGGTAATGAAACCACAAAGAGAGGAAATATCTGGAAATGAAAGACAATTCTTTCTCATCTTTTTTGCATAGCACTGCTATGGATTTCGCATGGTGAGGAGGTGCAGACAGGTGTTTATGTAGATGGTGGGTTGAATTCTCACCAAAATGTTTATATTGCAAGGATTAGAATGGTTATAATTCAAGGATTATATTGCATTAAGGGATTTATAGTCCTGGGCTGACATTTCTTTTAATTGCTTTAAATTTAAAGTCAGTGCATGAATGTTCAAATAAATAAATGGATCAGAGTTTGTCTGAAAATTAATGTTTCCTCTCAACTGTGGTAGAAGTTAACATTTCGGGGTGCTGCTCTGTCCCTGGTCTTCGAGTTTCTTGCTTCCAACGTCGCCATCTAGTGATAAAAGGTGTGAAGAAAACCTTGTAGTTTTGCTATTACAGTACACGAGATGGGAATAAGGTAATTGCAATTAATATATTGTATGTAACTGAAGGAAATATATAATAAATATTTTTTTTAATTTAAATGTCATGAGGAGTTTGTTATGAATACTGGCTTCTGAAGGACAGCTAAAAAGATTTTCTTATGCACAATGCTGAAAGGTCTTGTCTTGATTTTTTTCTGATGATTTTTTGGGTGAGTCCCAGTCCCAGGGGAGCCTGCAGTGTCAGGTCATGTTGAGTCCTCAGATTTTAGAAGCAGACTTCCAGTCAAGAGACACAAGTTTTCCAAAATGGCCAATTTTCCTCAAACCTCTTCTTTAATTTTCTTAAAATGTTCCCTACATATTAAGCAAACTCATCTGTCACGTAAAAAATAAATGTAGTTGATTTTGATGTGTACCATGAGCCTTTTTACTGGGCCTGTGTAATCACTATGCCATGTGATAGCTACAGCATCTCCCCAGTATTGAGTTTTCTATTTTACTGAGGTATCCCATTCCCCTATGATTTTAATTAATAGAGAAATTAATATATTGGAAACTTGAATTTATTTTAAGTGGCAGCCCTCACTAGCCACTTCTGTTTCTAGCTACTTTCACTGCTGAGTATCTGCTATGCTGCTTTCCAGCTGATCTGTTGTCTGGCTACTGCTGTGTTCACACTGCAGTTTCTCTGAAGCTTGAGCTCTTCTGGGGTTCAGTGATGTACAGGATTATATGGAGATCCCTTCCATAAAACAAACCCCTCCTGATGAGGGTATTCTCCTTTCCCTAAGGTAAGCAATGAGAAGCTCAGAGTCCACATTTCCCAGGGACAGTTTCCTGCACCATCGCAGCATTTGCAAACCCTCTATGACTCCCAGTCATGCTGAGAATTAGGCTGGCTCATGACCAAATAATGCTGGAATTTACCCCTGCTGAAAAAAAGGGTGGGAAAAGCTCTTTTTAATTTTTTAAAGAGGAATGCACCCAAATTTACAAGGAGATTGGGCCTGTCTGGAACTAGCACAGCCACCAAGGTGGCTCTTACTCTCTGACAGATAGCAATAGCTTACCAGTTTGTTAGAGCAGGAATGGCAAGCCACCTCTAAGTTTGACAACAAAAGGTTTAGCCGGGGGAACCCATGACAATGAGTTCTAATGTATTTGAAATAAATGTTCAGCCATTACAAAGAGTTTCAGCATTGCAGTTCCCTAGAAGGGACTGTTCTTTTTGCTGCTCACCAGTTTATGTCAGTGGGACTCCCTGCCCCTTCACCAAACACACTGCTTGGTCCATTTATGTAATGCACTAAATAGAGATGTAAATTAACCAGGCAATAAATGTTATCATACCAGAAGGATCTGCTAGGACTCATAGGGAGGCCCCCAAGTAAGACTATGTCTGGAGTGCAGAAACTGAATACAGGGTCATCTTCCTTTTTTTTATTATTTTGTTCTTTCTCTCATTCTTTCTCTCTGTCTTTGTTGAACTCAATCTCTTACAAGGTTGTGAAGAGAGTATTACAAGAGGCTTGTTATCTCGCATTTCTCTGCCTCCTGTTCCTTGTCAATGGAAGACCATTTTCCTAATTTTAGGGAGAATCCCTGCAAATTATAAACCTGCCCAGAAGCCCTGATAGCTGCTGTCTGACTTTGATGTGAATCTTGTCATTTTTTGCTGTCACTCTGTAGCCAGTAGCAACAGAGAAATTGACATTAATACTTATAATTAGGACAAAATATTTTAAGATTCTATTTCAATGCATATTTTAAAGAACATACGTCTCCATTTAGAAGAAAAGTTTTTCCAACTATTTTAAAAGTTTTCTAGAGCATAGACTTGTCCAACTAATTCTATTTTTTTTTTCTTTTTGCATACTTTTGTTAATAGTGCAACTTTTCTCAGAGGCTGGAATTCATTTCTGCATAGAGGCCTTTTTAAGGAATTAAATGGGGCTTATGAGATCCTTAATCCTGATTCTGGCTCTTTGTGCAGGGTTGAATTTCATAGAAAAAGCGAATTTCAGACAAAAAAGACCAATGGACTTAATGTTTAATCTCTTTTTGAAACACTGAGAGCTTTCTGGTCTCATGAGATTCTGAAATCATGTTCCATATACAGAAGTTTTCTTTGTGTGTCTTGTAGGCTGGATCAAAATTACTGGCTGACTTGCATGTTTATGTTGTCTGTAGTACCTTTGGGAGTTCTTGCTGTTCCTGCTATTTAAAAGTCCTAATAATTGACAAAATGTGTAGTTTACTTTGCCATTTGTGTGTGTAAGTTAAAATCTTTTATCTTCAGTGTCTGAAATGCATACAGTCTAATAGTAGGAGAGTACCACACTGAATGTAGTTAAAGTTCAACATCAGTATTTGAAGATCACCTGTATTTTGCTCCAGATCTACTCCAGTAAAACTCAGTTTATTCTATTTTCACTGCCATGAGATTTCAGAAATACCCTGGTCTTTCACGGTCACATGGAGTTTGAATTAAATCCTTCTGTGTTGAAGTAGGAGACTGAGGAGTAAACAGGATTTGATGTTTATCTGGTGCTGGTATAAGGTTGAAGCATTCCTGTCCAATGCTGGAAGGTTCTGTTTGAATGAGATCAAGGTTTAGAAAACATTGGCCATAACTTGACCATACTGATGTGCTGAGCTTTGAGTAAGAACAATTCAAGGCATAACATACTAGCATCCCCAAGAACTGTGTAATGAAGGTCAGGATTTTTGTGCATTGAGAAGAGTGGCATTTTATTCTACTTTCTGAGTTTTTCACCTTGATTTTGATATTTCTTTAGGAATTTACTTTTAGCTTTTGAGTGGTTTATTTTCTTTGTCACAAACCACATATAATCGCTTGGCAGCAGTTCCCAAGCTGGAGTACAAACTTTTGCCAGGAAGAATGTGATGAGTCATGATGTGTGACCAGAATAGCTGTGCTATTAAAATTGCCAAGAGTAG